AGCAGCCTGCAGTCGCGGGGTGTGCGTGCGGGAGAAGCCGCTGAGGAGAGCCGGGAGGGCAGAGCGTGGGGACCGCCAGCCGTCCTGCTCCACGTCCCCCCTGGCGCCCCGCACGCCCCCGGGACACCGGGCCCAGCCTGACCTGGCAAGGCTTTGGGCAGCAGGGGGGAAAGAGAGGAGCAGGGAGAAGGGACAGGGCTGCTTCCAGACCAAGCCTAGGTGTCCTGTTCGGCGTCCCGGAGCTGGGCAAACGATGCAAGATAAGCCGTGTCGTGCTCGCTCGGGCGTTCAGGTGACACGGGGCTTCGTGCTCACACTGGCATTTCTGCTTTCCGTTTAGGTAGCAAAAACTTAGAGCATAGCAAATAGAGTACTGTTCAGGTTTCAACAGCTTTCTCCACAGCAGCAAGTTATATTTTGTCTGTTCCCTTTCATTGTGTCTGCCAACTTTCCAAACTCCTCTCAAGCACAAATTGTTTATGGATCATTCCTTTTCTGGGGTATCAGGGATATTTGGTTAAATTTATCAACCTTTCCATCGATCATTTTCTGCAAAATATTATCATGTTTACCACCGAATCTGTTTCAGTTTTTCACAGATAGACATGATGTTCTCAAAGCCCTATATTTCTTTTGCAGGTTTGCATTTCATCCTTGTTGTGCTGTACATCTAAAAGTTGTATTTCCACAGCCATTGTAAATCAAAACTGGATGCTGATTGATTGGCTGGGAAGCTTTTGTTTTTCAAGGATAATCATGGCTTTTTAGAAGTAAGATATTTAAAATACAATGTAAAAAATTAAAAATATTACTGGTGTTAATCTTTGCAGTTTCAAATCTGGCCACTGAAAAGTGCCAGGAGGTTTTTTTTACTGACTACTATCTGATGCAGTTAGTATCTTTTCTGCATTTTTCCAGTAAAATATTTGTGAATTCAACAGTATTTTATTTTCACAGTTCAAAATTCCACTAAGCTTCCATTAAATGCTTGCTCTAGGTATTTGCTTTGGTCTTGTAACCTCTATAGTTAGGGATAAAATATAGAGAAGCTGGCAAAAAAAATAATGCCTTTGTTTATTGTGTCTCAGTGAGAGAAAGTTTATCAACGATGTGGTATATGTGAAGGGAAAGACTTTGTTAAGATAAAGTTAATTTCTTTATTATAATAAAATTAAATAGTTAATTAAAATTAATAATTTCATTTTCACTTTTCTGTACATTTCATAGACAACTGAAAAAAGGATAAAAACTTCAATCACAAGAAAGTTAAGAGTATGTGAATAAAGTGTACCTCTCCTACCTACCTACCTCCCCTGTTCTCTAGTTACTCCAGTTTCAAAGGCAAATTTCATATGGCCTTTAATCATCTTTCTTACAGATACCTCTGAAATTAGCTGCGTTGTAATGCTTTTCAGGTAGCTTATATGTCAAACTGCTACTTTCTCCACATTAAATCCCTTCTAATGGTATTGTTTTTTGTCTGTTACTGTTTTGTTTTTGTAGGGTCTAAAACTTTGATGTGCTCTTCCAGCCTACATCCAGTGTAAATGTTTACTGTCACAAACATGCTTCAAGACTCAGAGTGCCACTATGTATGCTGAAAAAGAATATCTTTATCTGAAATCCCGGTGTTGTTGGGCAGTGAAGGAAAATACAACATAGACATTTAAAGTAGTTCTAAACTGCGTTCTCATGCAACAGTTTCTCATTGTTTCTTTTCTGTTCCACCTCTCATTCTCCCTGCAATCAGAATTTGTTTTTCACCCTTGCCGATTTTGCACTGAATTTTTCAACTGGTCCTTCTAAATGCAAGGAGTTGTTTCAAAAACAAGAGACATATAAATGAAACACATTCATCTGAAACACGCATGTTTCTTGGGAGAAGGGTGTGATAACTTTTTCTATTGAAAAGGGCCCTGTGTGTTAAAACCCTCAGAGCTAAAATGGATTGCTGTTGCTGAACATGAGTCATATTGGACAGCACAGAGAGAAAGAAGCTCCAAGAGGATTGTGTCTTAGGCACACAGAATCATCTTGATACTCTGCTTGCATAGGCTACAAAACCTACTCCACCCCACTTTATGAGTTAGCATGAAGGCAGATACCCTCGTTCTGTGATAGTACCAGTATATTTCTTTACAAATTGAAGGGTTTGCAGGGTCATGTAAAGAACAATGGATAAGGGGCTGGCAGATCTTTCTGTAACAGCAAGTGGGCCTCTCTTGGTCTGGACTTTTATGTGCCCTGTGCTGCTCCTTATTTTATTTCTGCATATCTTTTGTTCAACAACAGCATTTTGCAGCCACTTCAGTTTACTAGAACACATGGAAGGGCTCAGATGTGTTTAGTGCTGTATTAGGATAGTGAGTAGAAATTGTGCACAACTGGCTTTTGGCTTTCCATCTGTCTCTTAAAACTGTTTATCATTCTGATACTCCTCCGAATTTATCATTGTCATTGGCTCACACTGTGTTCTGGTCAAAGGTTTTAAAACGTTTATTAAAAGGAATGCTTTTCACTAAAATAAATAATATCTCATAGAAGTCATGCCACCAAGCCAACCAGATGGTGAGAACAGGCATATTTGTGTAATATACAGAGTAACTCCAAACACTATCACAAGAGATGTTTCTGTACTCCTTATTGTTCCCATGCAGTTACACAGGTAGTTGGCAGTCAGATCATTAGTGGAAACATAAAGCTGTTGAATTTCCTGCAGTGTGACACAGAACCTTGGCCAAGAAAGGCATGGTAAAAATAGGTTGATCGTTTATAAGCATCTAAAAGAAAATAAGAAAGTTGTTTAAAGAGTGATTTGATGACAGCAAGAAGGACAGAATCAGAAGCAAGGGAGCTATTCATACTGATGATAATCATAAGTGCCAAACTGGCAAGCAGCCAAAGTGCCTACTAGGCAGGGATCAAAGACACATATGGTGAGTCTCAAACAACAAGTAAGCCATAGAATTCTGGCAAGCATTGAAGAAATAATATGCTCCAGCCCTGACAAAGATGAGGGCTAAAAAAAAAACAATGGGGCTACCAATACTAGATCATACCTCAGGGAAAGCAAAGCTTTCATCATTTCAGTTTTATTGGAGAAAAATGTAGATAACTTCTCACATATGGTAGGTCTGGTTGATCTAAATTGATGGGAAGTGTAACACAATGTTAAAAAAAATCCTTTACAGTTGTGGCATTAAATCAGTATTCCATTAACTGCAGCA